GCGTAATATCTGCAGGCAGCTTCTTCCAGTTGTTATCCGTTGTTGGACTTGTTGGTTCCCCGGGGGGGCTTGTGGCGGGTCTTCCCGGAGGAGAAGACGCTTGGATGGTGTCCCTGGACCACCGGGATGCTTATTGGCACGTCCCAATTCATCCAGGGTTCAGGGACTGGCTTGGTTTTGTTGTGGGACTTTGGGGTAACTGTTTTCATTGTCTTTCAGCTTGAATCTGGCACCTCACGTTTTTACATGCCTTACCCAGGTTGTGGTGGCCTGTCTGCCTCTCTTAGGGGGTTCGGGTTCTGGCTTATCTCGACGACCGGCTGGTGTGGGCTCCCAGCCGGTCTGTGTGTCTGCTTGCCAGGGATTTGATTCTTTCCCAGCTCGCCAGGTTTAGATTACTGGTGAACTGGAGGAAGTCCCATCAGGTTCCCTCTCAGGTTCAGTCTTGACTTGGTCTTGTGTGGGACTCTCGGACTGCTTCCTTGTCTCTTCTTCCTGGTTTTCTGCTTCGGCTACAGTCCCGCTTTTGCCTGTTTCTGAGGGGCTCCCGGGTCACTCGGCGGTTGCTCAAGGGTTTGTGCGGGAGCCTGAACTTTGTCATGATGGTCTACTCGCCTAGTCGAATTTGGCTTCATCGGCTGTTCTGGTTCCTTCAGGGATGTCCCTTTTTCCCTCTCGCAATCGCTGGGTTCAGCCTTCGGATGCCTTGTGTCGACTGCTGTGTTGCCGGCTTCCTTTTCATTTTTTTTGTGTTCACTGCCTTGGCACCTACTCGAGCCCTCTCTCGATATGCTTTCAGATGCGTTGTCTCTTGGCTGGGACTTTGTGACCAGTGCTCACCAGGCTGGCAGGTCTAGTCTTCTGTTGGGCACACAGCACGGTGAAGGAGTTTGCGGCAGTGTGGATGTCGCTTCAGAGGGTTTGGGTCGCTCAAGAATCGATGATCCCACTCCATTCGAACTGCTCCCTAGTGGTTTGTTGCCTAGACTGTGGGGGTTTGATGTGGTCCTTGGCTCTTTGGGACTGGTCGCTTTGGGTGATGCGTGCCTGGTCATGCCTGTTCCCACGATTTGTGAGCCTTTCGGTTCTGCTAAGTTCTCAGGGTTTGGCTCTCCTTGCCATTCACGTTCGGGGGGGAGTATCCAATGTCTTGGCAGACGGCCTGTCGTGGTTCTTTCCCCTGTCCACAGAATGGATGGTTGATGCCGACTCATTCAGTTGGCTCTGCTGGACGTACGCGCTCCTGGAGGTGGACCTCTTCGCGTCGGCATGGTTGAGGCATTCCCTGTTATATGTGGTGCCCTCCCTCGACTGCAAGGTAGTTGGGGTTGGTGCTTTACGGCAGGACTAAGCGCATCCTTGCTCCGTGACCGGGGACGTGCTTTGGGTTGATCTGGTTTCCCTTCTTCCCTGTTTTAGGGTTTGGGTTTCCCCAGTCGTTGGCAGGGTTATTCGGTCCATCCCGCCTGCGGTCTATCCTCGTGCCCACAACGTTTGTGAGTTTGCTGCATTGGCTACCATCTTCGGTAATATGTCTTGGGCTGACATTGGGGTGCTGGGTTTTTGGAGGTAGAACAGGGTCCTGGCTGCATGCTACCTGGTCAATGTTCCGGGGCCTGGTCGGGTCTGAACTCACCTAGTTGTGCTTGCCCCTCCCCCTCGCAAGCACAAGGTCGAGCTTCAGTTCTTTGGTCTTTGAGCTCCTTGGAGCTCCTGTGTTGCATTGGGTCAATGGTTGCAATCAGTTGTCTCGACTTCGCGTTGAGGGGCGAGTGCCAACCGCCTCCCGGGTGAGTCCCTCTTGATTTTGTCCGGGTAAGTAGCGCCAGGAAGCCGAAGGGGCTTCCCACAGAAAACCAGCATTGAATGTAATGAAATGCCATTTTCCGAGTGAGACCCGGAGGCTCCCGGCAACCTTCCCTCCCTCCCTCCGGTCTGCATTTTTTTGCGTGTTTTGACATCCGGCCTCAGAACTGAAGGGTGGATAGCTGGCATGATAGTCTGGGGCTTCCCCTTCCCCCTCCCTGGGAAGTGGGGGGGGGGGCTGCCCTGGCAAGCGGTGCGGCGACATGATGATGTCATCCTAGTTTGCTAGTTATCATTTGAGGATTTCTGTCCTTTAGTTTGGCTTTCAGTAGCAATATTTTACCCAGAATAGGGGTTTGTTTTGGGGCGCCTACCCTTCTGGGTGCCTGACCCGGTCGATGGCAGACATAGAATGCTTCAAACCACATGGGGGTTTCTATTGGCCATTGCTCCTCCTGCCTCTCTGAGCGGGGCCAGGTTCTGGCTCGTGGGCCCCGGTAGGCCTAAAACTCCATTCACATAAACTGATGCTAAAGTTTATTATGTTGACCAGACCACACACTAGAAATTCTATCCACATGAGTAAAGTTTATTATATCCATATCAGCCTGGATAGCACTGGGAAGCCTCCAGGTCTCACTCAAAATGGAGTTTCATTACATTCAACGCTGTTTTTTTTTTGGGGGGGGGGGGGTAGTTCGTTTGGCAATTTTATGGCTGCAGTCTCATTTTAGCCATGCAGTAGTCTGTTTTTGCTCACCTATCTTTCTGGGTGCCTTCTCCAGTGGTAGTAATTACGATTAACTTTAAATGTAAAGTATTCATAGGCTATCGCTCCGTGTGTCTCTCTGAGGGGGCCTTTGGCTCGTGATCCCCGGTAGGCCAAGATAACTCTGTGACTAATGGCACCTTGTAGCATGGCACTATATCAGTGTATCATTGGTTTAGGGAGCCGATGGGACTCCAGACAGAAAAAGATACCATTGTAAAGAATCATGTGGATAGAATTAAGAATTGAGTAGCAGTAATGAGGACTTGAGAAACAAAGTTTCATTCCTAGAAAGTCAAACATGGGGATTATACAAAGATAAGAATTCCTGGGCTCTAAATGAAAAGTCCTGGAGGGGGGGAAAATAAAACATTTGAAGTTAAATCCAGATGTTAATGAATACAGTAGGTTAGTCAAGGAAATTCAACAGGTAAAAGATCTTTCATCAAAAAAGAGGGAGGTTACACAGGAAATAGGAAAGAGCAAGAAGGCAATGCAGGTAACCTATGCACAAGTGGCCAGAGAGAAAGTAATATTAGAAGCAGTAGGGAAGTGGCCATACAGACACAGGAATCTGAAAGACCTCGACCTACACCTTTCAGCAAAGAGCCAACACAAAGTGTACTACAGATAAGCAAGCACACTCCAACAAAGCATGCACCAGGAATCTGTCAATATTATGCATGGTGTGTATGCAAATATGGGCCGTCAGGGAAAAACTAATGGGGCATGTAAATATAACAGAGGTAAATGTTACACTGAAAATTGCTCATGTTTCTACCCAAAACTAAAAATTCACTAAACAAGAGGAAATGTTTTAAAAGAGATTGCCTAGGATTTCATATCAAAGGGACCAAATACTTTCATATCAAAGGAACCAAGTGAATAAAAATCCCAAGAATGCAATTATGACTAGGGCAACACCCAAACACACCAGGGAGGTTTTTGAGTAAGATGAAGAGGAAAAGAATGGCAAGAAATGTCCAAACTTTGCCATCAACTCTGCCAAATGCTAGACAGGACCCAGACAGTGTAGCACCTCCACCACAACTACAGATACTACCAAGTAAAATACCCAGCATGTCTACAAATACGATAAAATCATTCTTATTTGCCAACATACAAAGCATAAAGTGGTCTCCTGAATGACTGAAATATTTTGGGCTTTGACTGAAACTCACACAAAGGGCTATTAAAGTATGATGCTGAAGTATGGATACCAGAATTTGATATTTTCAGATGTGATAGAAAACATAGGCTGGGTAATCCTGTATGTCAAAGACACACTCATCTGCTCAGAGTTGCTGAACACCACAAATGATATGATGGAAGAGCTGATAATCAAAATCAGTCACACTGATTTTGTGACTGATTTTTAGAAGTGTTGATACACTGATGGCGTCTTGCAGATGTGTGACAGATTTGCTTTAAACCAGCAAATAGTAGAACCAACCAGGAAAGAAAACACCCCGGATCTTTTTTTACAAACAGTGTTGAACCGTTGACATAATGATTACAAATACATGTTACTCAGATCACAACCTAATTGAGGTTCAGACATGCATGGGCTGTAGACCTGTGCAACTAGTCTCAAATCCAAGAGGAGGATAATTTAGAAAGTTCAGTTTCAATAACAGATTAACTAGGAACAAATAAACCAAGCCCTCACAGAAATTTGCTGGGAAACACAGCTAGGTAATGCAAACTTAAACTTGTGTTTGGTCCAGCTGGGGGTGCATCATTTTTCTGCATCCACTGGCAGAGCTGTCATTGCCTGTGTGCCACTGATTCAGCCTCGTTCATACTTTGTCAATTGCTTCTCTGTGGAGATTATCAGTATGTTCTGCATCATCTCTTTGGAGCCAGCTGTTTGCTGTGCCCTCCAGGTTGCCTCATGGTAGCCATTGGCCTTGAAGTTGTCTGTAAAGCTTCCCTGAATTTTTGAATACTTTCCCGGTGAGTGTGAGGATAATCATCCCCCTTGCTCTTTGTGCCTCTGTGAGGGGGGAGGGGGGTCAAGTTCTGCCTCTGGTCTTCGGTAAGCCAAACAGGACTCCTGCAGCTGATGTAATCCAATAGTGGGGAACCATCTCCACAGTGAGATAGCTTCAGGAAGCCACTGGGGTTCTACCAGAAAGAGGCATTTCATTACATTGAACCCTTGTTTCCTAGCATTTGTAATAATTAGTAACTGCTCTCAAAGATTTAAATAGCATTTGACTTAAAGAAAAATCATTAGGCATAATTGTTTTCATTGATACACTATACAATTATAGAGCTGTGATGGATGATAACTGTTATGTCTTATGTTACTGTGTACATAGGATATAAGCTACCTCTTCAAATCAGTCACATATGTCAGCCTCATACATGAAAAATTGAAAGAAGCATTACTGTACTAATAATTTTGATATATTTCTTACAGCATATCCTGGCTCACTTGGTATTCCACCACTTAGAAGAACAACAAGCAGCAGTATTAAACTTCATCGCTGCAACAACAGATATTCACATTCACAATATCAGACGATGCTCTGTGCAGGTCAGGTATTTTTCTTTACATTCAGTGATAGTATAAGATGCGTGATTGTGTGTTGATAATTATGCATAATCATTAGTTTTCTGTGGGAAGCCCCATCGGCACTCTGAAGCGATCATCACTGATTAAGTGCCATACTATCAAGTGTCATCAGTTGTTGAGTTCTTTTTACCTACCGGGGACCACAAGCCAAAACCTGGCTCCTCAGAGAGGTGCAGAGAGCGATGGCCTATGATCACTTTACATTTAAAGGATATCATCTTTGCCATTACCAGGGAAGCCACCCAGAAAGACAGGGGAACCAAAACAAACTGGCCTGGTTTAACCCTCAAACCGCGCATATCATATATAAATTATATCAGTGACAAAACCGAAACCGCGCACATCATTTATATATGATTTTGTGTCTAGCGCTATAATTTAAACGCCCCGCCTGGGATAGGGGCAGCTATAGTACAGCCACGACCGATAGTTGTCAGATGCCACCTAGAAAAAAAATCCAGGCCAACATTCTTGGGTGTTAGAGCGTCAGTATTGAGCAAGCCACCAAGGCTGGCGCACGCAGCACGAGCTCACAGCACCGCTGTTCAGCTTGTGACCACAGCATGGCCTACAAATGCCAAAATATATATGATACTGCTATTATTTAGCAGTGATAGTATTACTGAAGCCCCCTGACTGTGATAAAACTGACCAGGATTCTGATAATAGCAGGATTGTGGTGATATTTAGCGCTGTGCTCCATGGAGGGAGTGCTTGGGAGCCGGGTGCTTGGATGGTGTCCCTGGACCTCAAGGATGCGTATTGGCACGTTCTAATTCATCCGAGTTTCTAGGACTGGCTCAGTTTTGTTGTGAGGCGTCAAGGTTACTGCATTCGTTGCATTCCATTATACTTGAATCTGGCGCCTCGATTTTCACACACCTTACTTGGGTCGTGGTGGCCCGCCTGCATCTGTTAGGTGTTCGGGTTCTGGCCTACCTCGACGACTGGCTGGCTTAGGCTCCCAGCTAGTCTGTGTGTCTGCTCGCCAGGGATTTGGTTCTTTCCCAGCTCGCCGGGTTCGGGTTTGGGTTCCTGGTAAACTAACGGTTCCACTCGCTGGTTCGATCTTGGTCTTGTGTGGGATGCTCGGATCACTTCCTTGTCTCTTCCTCCGGCTGCTCAGCTTCACCTGCGTCCCCACCTTCGTCTGTTCCTGAGGGGCTCCCGGGTCACACAGCGGTTGCTCGAGGGTTTGTGCGGGAGCCTGAACTTTGCCATGATGGTCTACCCGCCGGGTCGGGCATGGCTTCGTCGGTTGTTCTGGTTCCTTTGGGAACGTCCCTTCTGCCTCTCTTGCAACCGCTAGGTTTGGCCTCCAGGGGCTTTACATCGGCTGCTGCGTTGCTGGCTTCCTCTTTTGGTTTTTTCTGGGTTTAGTGCCTTGGCATTCACCCAAGCTCTTGCTCGATGTGTTCACGTACGTGTTGTCTCTGGGCTGGGGCTTTGTGACCAGTGCTCACCAGGCCGGCGAGGGGTAGTGGGGTCCATCCTTCCGTCGGACTCACAGCACAGTGTGGAAGTTTGCGGCTGTGTGGATGTTGCTCTGGAGGATTTGAGTTGCTCACAGATAGATGATCTGGCTCCATTCGGACTGTTCCCCGGTGGTTCATTTTCTGAAGCAATGGGGGGTTCCATGTGGTCCTTGGCTCTTAGAGGCTTGTTGCTTCGGGTGACTCGTCTGCTGTGTTCTCTGGGTTTGGCTCTTTTGACGGATCACGTTCGGGGAGTGTTGAATGGCCTGGCGGACGGCCTGTCCCTTTTCATTTCCCTGTCCATGGAGGGGAGGGTCGACGCCAACTTGTTCTGTTGGCTCTGCCAGACGTTCAAGCCTCCGGAAGTGGATCTCTTCCCGTTGGCGTGGTCGAGGCATCTCCCGGTATACGAGGCCCCCTTCTCCAACTTCAAGGCTGTCGCGGTTGACGCCTTCAGGTAGGACTGGATGAGGTGGGGTTACCTGTACCTCTTTCACTCGGTTCAGCTGTTGCTCCAGGTCCTGGCTTGCTTGGAGACTTACTAGGGGCGAGTTGTCCTTCTGGCCCCTTGGTGGCCTGTCTAGCCTTGGCTTCAGGTGCTGTGTGCTTGGTGTCCGTACTCAAGGGTCTTCCCGTGACTCCGCCTCTTTCAACAGATCGGTTCAGCCAGGTATGAGGCTGGTTCATTCTTTTCGTTGAGTCTTCACATCTGGAGTTTCTAACTCAAGTCTATCATCACTTGTATGGGGCGCAGGTGGCTTCATTGATTGTCTCCCACCTGCGTGCTTCATCTCGGCAGCAGTATAAAGTTTCCTGGCTGTCCTTCTGGTTCTTCCTATCACTGCGTAGGTATACATCGGTCTCTGATAGGGTTGTCTTGTTCTTCCTTTCGTGGTTGTTCCAGGACTGTCATCTTATGCCGAATACTGTCACCTCTTATCGTGCGGCGCTGGCAAAGCCGCTCCAGCTTGCGTTCAGTATTGATGTTACTTCTGTCCCGTTCCAAAGTTGTCTCGTGCATTGTTTCACCTCCAGCCTGCTCATGCGTCTACTGAGCCGTCCTGGTCTTTGGACCGGGTGTTCTCTTTTCTCTCTTCTCCTCGGTTTGTAGTGACCTTCATGCTCTCCTCCGATGCAGGGGTTTCTGCTCCTTCAATCCTGGTGTTAGGTTCGTTCATTTGCAGCTGTCTCCTTTTCTGGTGAAGAATGAGACTGCTGCTTTCTGGAAGGGTCCTTGGGTTGTTGATGCTTGGTTGGTCAGGCCAGGGGTGCATCATGTGTTGTGTCCGGTTGCGGCTCTCCGCCATTGTTTGTGCACCACAGCTTCAGTGGCCGGGAATGCGCTTTGGGTTGACTCAGTTTCCCCTCTTTCCCTGTTCCCGGGCTTGGGTCTCCCAGGTCGTCCACAGGGTTATTAAGTCTAGCCAGCCTGCGGTATATTTCCATGCCTACGACGTTCGTAAGTATGTTGCTTTGGCTGCCGACTTTGGCAACATGTTTTTGGTTGACATTCGGGCACAGGGATTTTGGAGGGCGAACAGGGTCCTGGCCGCTCGCTACCTTGTCAGTGTCCTTGGATCTGGTAGGGCCTGTGTTGCAGTGAGGCGGCGGTTGCAGCCAGTTGTCTCGTCTTCGCGTTGAGAAGTGAGGACTGACCGCCTCCCGGGTAAGTCCCTGTGTTTTTTCCTTGTCTTTGGGTAGTAAGCTCCGAGGAACCGATGGGGACTCGCCCCAGAAAACCACTGTTGAACGTAATGAAACTCTATTTTCTGGGTGAGACCCGGAGGCTTCCCAGCATCCTTCCCTGCCTCTGGTTGGCAGTGTTTTCGCATGTTTTTGACATCCAGCCTAAGAACTGCTGGTTTGTTCGCCAACACAAGGGTCTGGGGCTTCCCCTTCTCTAACCCTGGGAGTGGGGGAGGGGGTGACTCAGATAGCTGCGTGGTAACGTGATGACCTAACGCTCGATTGCTATTTTTCCTTTGGGGAGTTCTGTCCATTCATTCGGCTTTCGGTAGCAATATTTTCACCAGAAGAGGGGTTTGTTTTGGGGTGCCTATCTTTCTGGGTGCCAGACCCGGTCGATGGCAGACATAGAATGCTTCCAACCACATGCAGGTTTTTAAAGGCCATTGCTCCTCGTGCCTCTTTGAGGGGACAGTTTCTGGCTCGTGGTCCCTGGTAGGCAAGAACTCCATGCATATTGACTGATTCCAGAAAGCTAATAGTTACATATCAGCCTGGATAGCTTCAGGGGAGCCTCCAGATCTCACCCAGAAAATGGCATTTCATTACATTCAACGCTGATTTTCTGGGGGGAGCCCCGTCGGCTCCCCGGAGCTATCCCAGGCTGATATGCTAATGTCAGACTCTGGCATCAGTCATGTGTATGGAGTTCTTAGGCCTACCGGGGACCACGGCCAGAACCGGGCCCCCTCAGAGAGGCAAGGGGAGCAATGGCCTATAGAAGCCCCCGTGTAGTTGGAAGCATTCTATGTCTGCCATCGACCGGAACAGGCACCCAGAAAGGTAAGCGCCCCAAAACAAACCCCTATTCTGGTTAAAATTGCTACCTAAAACCGAACTAGTGGATAGAACTCCCCAACCGAAAACAAGCAAACTAGTGTGACGTCACACACTGCCGCGCCGCTGTCTGCGCAGCTCCCCCCTCCCCGGGAGGGGGAAGGGGGAGCCCCAGACCCCCCGCGCCGGCTACCCACACTTCAGTTCTTGAGGCTGATGCTATAGGCGATGGTCGTGTGCTCTGGCTCCGGTGTCGCTACTGCACTGTGCTTTGCGTGTGGTGTTAGTTTTGTGGGTGCGAGAGCCAGGAGTTATCTTCAGTACTCGGGCTGCATGCGCCTAGGGCTGCCTTCCCTAGGTGCCCTGTAAGTACTGCCCTTGGGGCTTGGGGCCACCTTCCACAGGCTCCTCGGGGTCTGCCTCTGCTGGTCCGTTTTACCTTTCGGTTTTTCGGCCGCCTGTTGGGCTCTTGGGTGTTCTGTTCTCCCTTGTTACCGGCAGGTAAGAGGCAGTTTGCACTGGTAGGGGCGCAGGGTGCTGCTCAGCTTGTATTTCCCGACATCGCGGCCGGCTCTGTTCCTTGGGGTTCGCTGTCCTCTTGCGGGGTTTTGTTTTTCTTTTTGTTTTTGCCTGGTGGGGGGTTCTGTCATTTTATTCAGTTTGTTTTTGCCCTTCCACTGTTCTCCTCGGTGGCGCCCCCTGCTAGGTCCCCGTGAGTGTACACGTCCCTGGGGTTCAGCTTTAGAAGTTTGCTTGGTAGTTTTGGGCGCCGGTTTGCAGCACCCTGCCTGGGACTGCCTGAGCGCGAGTCCTCTTAAAGTAAACGCTCAGGACCCTGGGAATCCCCTAGGGGGCGCGTGGGTCCGATGGATGTGACCCCGGAGTCCCCACTCGCTGTGTGCGAGTTTGAGGGTTGCTCGGTTCCCTTGTCTCAGGGTGACCCTCATTGTTTTTGCCTCTGCC